ACCAGAGAGGTTAAAAGGTCTCCTAAGGAACCTCAGTCTGGTTCTTGTCCTCTAGGTGGGGGGAAGTCAATCCAAAGAGCTTGTGATCGTGATTACTATCATGGATTTACATGTGATGGTCATGCTGTGCATCTCTTTGACCATCAATCTTGATTTCTTGCCCCAAAATTGACAATCTCCTTGGAATTGCCAATAAGTGTTCTTTTGTTTTAATGCTGTGAGCTGCTTAAAGCTGCTAGTTGGTGGACTTGCTTCAGACTCGTGGCGCCAGCGTATCGTGGACAGATTTATGACGTTGTCTTGGGCCTCTTTGTGGAATTCGGCTCTTTAGGTTGTTCAACACCAATCTGATCGAATCTTAAAGTGTTTGATTCACTCTGATACCCTACAGAGCGGAGGCCGGCGGGCTAGAGTGACCGGAGGCCAGTGGGCTTGAGTGAGCGGCGGCGGGCGGGCTTGAGTGGTCTTTGCAACTTTACAGATCTTCTTTATGCACCAAGAGCTTGTAACACTCCAAAGAGAAAGGAAAAATTTAAATCGCATCATATGACCCCTTTAATTTTGAACTCTCAAAGTGCATTAGATAGAATAATTTAACTTTAAAATGTACAAAATTTATTTCCAATTCTTCATGTCTTTTTTTCTTTTTAAATATCGCAATAAATATTGTATTGTGGACTTCATATCGCTATAATATTGTATCGTGAGATTTTGATATTGTTACATCCCTAGTCAATTGGTGTTTTTTTTTTTCTGTCGCTACCTGCCACCGTCATTTACAGCGCACGAGCCCCGCCTATTTGTGAGGTCCAGCCTACTTGCGGCGTAAGTCCCTCCGACTCGGAGTTATATGGACTGCAGCGATACATAATTGAAACCACCGCGTTTTTAATTTAAACGTGCAGTGCTTATATTAAATATAATTCAATCATTGCCTTTTGAAGTTTAAGTCATATTAGGCCGTATCATGATTCCTGTTTTTCAGCCCCAAAATTAAGATCTCTTTATGATTTTGGAACTTATACTATTTAAAGGGGTCATATGATGCGATTTCAATTTTTCTTTTCTCTTTGGAGTGTTACAAGCTCTTGGTGCATAAAGAAGATCTGTAAAGTTGCAAAGACTAAAGTCTCAAATCCAAAGAGATATTCTTTATAGAAGTTAAGAGTCAGCCACACCTACCTAAAATGGCTCGTTCTAACACGCCCCTACATACCTACGTCACTTTCTGGGAAGATTTGCATAACGCCGCCCAAACGTTCACGCAAAGAAAGAAGCCGTAACTTTCAACACAACGCGTAAAAAGACAGTATAAGTCATTATAATCCATAATTATGTCCCCACTGGATGCAACGAATGCCTCGTTTATAATGGGTTTTCATGTTTTTGAATCATCGCTCCGGCCTGACGGCATCATCACAATGTGGTAGGGGCGTAACATTTCCGCCACACGCTTGAGAATAATGTACAGTATGTGGAAAAGAATGTGTTTTTTTAACCTTAAACCGCATAAACACATTTCATTACACCAAATACACAAAATAATGTTCTTTTTAGCAACATCACATGACCCCTTTAAGATACTGAAGACTCTTATTACTTTAAGTTATTTTAATTTGAAAAGGAATTGAAGACTTTTTAAAGACCCTGAAAACCTCTGATCCCAAACACAACTGCAAAGCAAAATCATGGACAAAGAAGTTGCAGCTTCCACAAGTGTGCTCGATACCACTTCATACTATGTTCTTAAACCAGCCCTTAGCTTTGAAGAACACATTTCATCGGTTCTTTTCGATATAATAACACCTTTTAAAAATATTCATTTAAAGTTAGATTTAAAAACCAACCTTGTACACTTGACCATATGTACCATTTCCAACCACTTCGACCAGTTCAAAAATCCCGGCTGGGTCCTAGAGTAAAACAAAAGGTAAGAATAAAAACTGCGAAACAATGTCAATATAAATTAAAACAAAACAAACAATGGATTTGACAAATAAAGCTATCCATGCTATGTATTTAACACGCATGCTAGTGGAGTTCAAACAAAGGAAAGATCGAAACTCTTAAATGAGGGCCATTCCACATGTCAATATTGTTTTAACGCTTTCTCTCGTTTAAACAAAGACTACGATACGTTCGTGGATTCTGAAATCATCGGTATCGACTGCAAAAGACAATGAAAACAAGCTAATGTAGTCGGTAGAGGCTACTCACCCGTAGTGAAGAAAGGTCTATGTCTACTAGACTTTTCGCTGGAGAGTCGTTCGCCATCTTTCATTTGTATAATATTTGCTGTAACAATACTCTTCACTCCAACTCTTCACACGGTCGACCGTAACTACACAACTGTGTCCGTTTTGTTTACTATAGCAACATTTCTCTAGTACAGGACACACGCTGATAATTTATGTTGAGTTGGATGGGATTGGAGCAGTAGCTCACTGTACCTTGCAGAAATGTCCGATTCGCCAGTGAATCATTTTAAACGGTTCTTTTTTTTTTAGGACTCGGTGGAACCGATCGCAAGCCGTTTCTAAATCACCCCACTGTAATCTAGTTTACATTAATCTGTTTTGAAGTTAAACTGTGACGTGGGAACCATTTTCTTTATATTTATAATCATTTAAATTAATAGTGTTCATATTCAACATTACTGATGTGTAGGTCTACTTTATTAATAATAATGGGATCAATACTGCTGCTAACAGTTGTTAACAATGGTGTCTAGAAAAATAAACAACACAGCCTTGGACTCAACCGTACCAACAAAATGAAAGTAAAATGCTACAGACTCTCACTTTTGATAGCTCAAAAGAATAGGTGGGTCAGTTTGTGAACAGTTTTTTTTTTAAAAGAGTCACAAGAACAAACCGATTCATTGAATCACTAAAGTGAATCTTGCTTTCTAGAGCTAAACACAGGAAGTCGGTGTCGTGAGAAATCGGGTCGAAATCAAGTACACGCAAACGATATTATTTAAAACTTTTTTTTTTTCACTTGATAAAATGTTAATAACAATGAACCAAATAATAATTTAATAATAATAATATAATAATAATTTAACTAAATACATAATTATAAGATCGTTGAGAATATATGTAGGGTAATCAGTTTTCTTTAAATAGTGAGCACATTTACATGCACACAAGTAAGCTGATAACTCACAAATATCAGCTTATTAAAATAACCAGTTTCCCCCGTTTACATGCGCATCAACCTGACAAGCAAAGAAGTTGCGTTTACATGACTTCATTAATAAATCAGGTTATTTCCCTGTAGTGAAGTCAAAATATAATCATTTGCGTATCTGACTCCTAGTATTCCATACATTTGTCAGTTGTGATGTTAAATTAAGCTTGCAACATGTCAACTTGCAACATGTCTGGAAACTTACAGCTCATATAGCCTATTACCCTCTCATGCAGTTATAAACGCAGCATTGTGACTGAACCACTTCTGCTGCACTAGATGAGAACACATTTTTATCATTTTCTGAGTCATGAAAAAGTCTGCTTTTGTGATATATTTCCTTCTTTCTTTACTGCAAGACGTTTGCTCGGTCTAGATGCGCTTAAATCTGCACTAACAACGCGTTCCTGTAACACATGAGCACTTCAATAAGCCGACAGAAAGCGGTTTATTGCGTTTACATGCCGTGCGAAATCGGAGTAAGAGGCAAAAAACTACCTGTTGCGATCGGTTTATGCTTACGCCGTTTATGACCTTACTCCGATAAAAGAAAACGGGTTACCGCGTTTACATGACCAAGTGCGTTTTCGGCTTATTGAGCATAATCGGTTTAAGAACGTGCATGTAAATACGCTCAGTGTTACAGACAATGACTGTATTTGGTATGCACATACATCACTGAGGCAGTCTCATTTCAGAAAAGTATACATTACTTTCCAAAGTAAGAAGAAGAAAAAACATGATTAAAACGCCTCACAAGGAATAACAGACATTACAGGTGCATCTCAATAAATTAGAATGTCATGGAAAAGTTCGTTTATTTCAGTAATTCAACTCAAATTGTGAAACTCGTGTATTAAATAAATTAAATGCACACAGACTGAAGTAGTTTAAAAATGTGAGCCAAAATCATCACAATTAAAAGAACCAAAGACTTAAACTACTCCAGTCTGTGTGCATTGAATTTATTTAATACACGAGTTTCACAATTTGAGTTGAATTACTGAAATAAATGAACTTTTCCACGACATTCTAATTTATTGAGATGCACCTGTACATGTTTGATTACATTTTTGAGACACCCTCATATGTGGCCAACAAATGCAACCTACTAGGTTGAAGTCTTCAAAATGACACTCAGTGAATGAGTTAGATTTGAAAAAAAACTTTAGGTAACTGCAAAAGTGGCTGTTTTATATCTTGTTGATTTAGAAGGAGCTCTGTTGCAGGTTATTTTAAGATCAATTTTAATTATTAGTATTAACATCGTCTTTTTACTGGTTGATAGACTTGAATAAAGCACAAACAGTCAATCAAAAATTGCTATCTAGACTGTGACTCTTCTAAGAAATGCTTACTCAGTTTTGTTTGCTCAGTTTGCCCTGCCCTTGGCTGTGAATCAGTCAACCAGCTGTCATGAGAGAATCATCAACAGTACGGTCGCCTGACGTCACTCTCAGGAAGCGGGATCCGGCGGTGGCAACACGGGTGTGGTGATGGAAGGAAGTTGCGTAGATTCAGGAAGTGATCCGGAGACGGATGGAATGGATGGCGAGGAATTAGATTACAACGACTGCCTACAACAATGAAGTCAATATTACTGGTTACTGCTTTTTATATATTTACTACAATTCATAAAAATGAGATACTAGTAATACGTTGCCGCCGTGGAAATTCTGAAAAAGACCAGAATATTCCACTGCGTTCCTGGACACGCAATTTGCGTAGCTGTGATTCATAGGCGGGGATTATGCTAATTGTGAATGAGCGTGCACGAGCGCCCTATTTACGAATGATTGGAATTCATTAACATACACATGTTTAACTATCAAATCGGAAGTTTAAGAAGCGTTTGTGAATCCGGAGGAGAGATTTCGGGAAGGTCTGTTTTACATGCAAATTACTCACAATTTACTCATATATTTACGCAAGTTTCATGAAAGAGGCCCATAATGTGTAGATTACACTAACATTAGGCTGCGTTTAGCCTTACAGTGGAGTTGGTTCACTCTCCAGCAATGAAACTAAGTAAATAATTAAATTAGAACAATAATATCGTGTATCGGCGATCTCACAGACTGACGATAAGACGATATGATTATGGAGCATATCGCCCAACACTATTATAAACCAGCATTTGATCAGTGAATTATTTTTTACATGAATAAACTATTAATGCGTAAAATACAGTGATGCACTATAGTATGTTGTATTAGTAATCTGCTAAAATACTGCTGAAAAAAGATGATTGAAAAAGCTAAATGCTATTAGTCCCTGCTGGTCTCCAGGAGGGCTAAAACGATTAGTCGACATTATCTACAATGTTGACAACTAAAATTTGCGACAAATATTTTTGTGGTCGAATAGTTGTTTGAGCTCATATGACCCAATGTAATGACCTGCAATAACGCGGCTTAACCGGGCTGGCGCTGTAGCGCAAGACTGTAATTCAGCTGTCCCGGATGCAATCTAATAGAAGAAGACCAGCTTTGCAAATGAAGCCAAACCAGTAAAGTATGGAAAAGTTTTACAAAACTACAAACAAAAAATTCTGTTATGTGTAAAGGCCGCAATATACTGACGGTGAAGTTCTTTTTCATTTTTTAAATGAAAAAAAAGGGTAAAAAGAAGTTTGATATACTCATACAGTATAATACTCATAGATGTATTAGTGTTGCACAATATACCGGTACTAAAAAGGTATCATGATACCCTGCTTTTAAAAATGGTAAAACTAGTACTGGTACTTTAAGGATGCATTTTAATAAGAGCCGTATTTCCTGAGTTGCATCGATGTGTGACAGCAGGACAGTGTGTAGCGTTCTGCTTCCACTCCCTACATTCACACTAGCTGTGCCAAACTTTATATATCCACACAGCACACACTGCTTAAACTTACTGACAATTTAAGAGTGAATAATAAACAACAATGAATGAGAAAATTAAACCTTAATGTTAAAATTAGGAACTTGCACACTATCACCCCTGAGGCACATGCACGGAAAGCCGCCTCTATCACAGACAGCTTGCGATTGTGAATTCAGATCTCTTTAACGAATTATTGCGCTTCAATGGACAAACAAGCACACAATTAAGTTCAAATGCTTATCTTATGACTTAAGTAAACATAAACAGCTGAGAAAGAAAATGCATGTGTATCAATATATTGGATTGGTGTAGCTCTTAATGTAACAGACGAATATTCTTCCTGCTGTCTGTATCTATAATGTTAATCAAACAACAAAAGAAAAAGAGAAAATCACTCACTGATCTTGACTAACTTCAGTAGCTTTAATAAGGATCAATGTATATTTAATTCATAGAGTTAAGACTATATTATTGACATTTTGATTACTTTATTCAATTTCTGTATTATCTCTTGCTTGAATGCTATATAGACCTACTTTACCTAAAAACAGTTTATTTAATTTGTGTCTGCTTTATTGTATTTGTCCTCAAAGTTTGTTGCTTAAGGATAAAATAACAAAAATGACTATATCATGATATAAATTGTAATAAAATTACTCATATCATGAAATAAGATTTTGGTCACATCTCATTCCTAACTCATGCCCTCAAATATAAGTCAAAAGATTTATTTTGTGACATGAACGGGGCAATTGAGGTCAATAATAACCGTCTAATTTGGCTTTATCATTTTAGCTAACTTACCACTGTTGCAAAGATATATATTTACCTTTAGGCTCTGTAATTGCTCACCATAGTCCTGTGTAGTGGCATTGTCATTGTTTTTTGAAGAGGGATGAAATGTTTAAAAAGCAGGACAGGCACACACTGGTCAAGTGAACAAAGTTTTTTTTATCATTATTATTAATAGATAAAATAACTATAAGCTCCATGTGGATCATCTATTATTCAATTACTTTTCCTGTAGTGTTATGTTTTGTTTGTGGTATCTGCTCAGTATTAGTATCAAGATATTTTAGTCAGGTATCGTATCAAAAAGTCAAAATTTTGGTATTGTGACAACACTAACATGTATAACTTATAAAAATCTATCTAATAATTTTTACATTAATCGATTATCAGAATAATTGTTTGTTGCAGCCCTAGTTTCCAGCCAGATCAGAATGGTCTGTTAGCTGATTTTAGAGCAGTGTTTCTCAACCAGGAGTCTGGGGAACACTAGAGAGTCTCAGCAGGCTCAAAATGACTTTCGGTTATATATCATTGCGGACAATGGGGGAGGGGGGGGGGATGATGATGGTCTTGTCAAAACCACTGTTTTAGAAGGATTTTGGAATTTTTT